TTCTTCTCTAGATGCCCACTGGCTAACTTTCATCTTCTTCAGATCTTTCCTCAAACACCAGGTTTTCAGGAATGCCTTCTCCAATTCTTACTGGACCATTGCAGCCTTTGGCCCCCTCTACACCCTAGGTGGCCTCTGCCCTCATCTGCTTATTTTTCTCCTTAGCACTTGTGCCCTTTTACCAGTGGGTATATTTTATTTGCCTGTCATGTTTATTGGTCTCCTCTGTCTGTAACAAGCTGCAACAAGGTCTGTTTTGTCAATGTTGAATCCCAGCAGTATCTAACAAGCAGGAGATGTACAATCCATGTGACTCTGTAGATGGTGGAATGGATGAAGGCCTCCTCACAGATGTGTCTGCAGTTATCCCCTCCCTGACTTAAGCCACGGTGGGTGCAGCTGCGGTGGGTGCAGCTGCGGTTGGGCAGTCCAGAGAGGCTTCCTGGCTTGATAACTTTGAACCATGAGGGAGCCAGCATCCCAACAGGATTCCCCCTGGGATTCCCACCTGCCCAAAGAGAAAGCTTTAGGGAGAACTTTAGTATATTTTAAATTCGTCTTTTGTAAGAGAAGCCAGCAACCTGACTTTATTTTTCAAAAAAGGAATTTATAAATACCGAAATTAGCGAGTGAATATGGTAAGTACTATGAAATATTCAAGAAAAGTGGCTCAATGCTGTCAAAGGTCAAGTGAGGAAATTTATTCCACTATTTGGATAAGAAAGGAAGTAAAAGGATGGGTCCCAAGTATTTTATTAAATCAATATTTTTCTCATTTTTAATACGTTTTATTTTTAATTAGCCCAAAATATTTTGTACTAATTTGTGGGGTACAGTGTTGCAATCTGATGAATGTATATGGTGTATAATGATCAGATCAGTATAGTTAGCCTTTCCATCTCCTCAAAAAGTATCATTTCTAATGATGCACAATATAAATTTTATCAGAGCAGAGTCTCAAGCATTTGGAAACTGGGAGGCCACCTCAGAGTAGCCCACAAATGAGGACTAACCTGGTGCTTTCTTGCCAGGCCCTGCTGGTGGCACATGCAAGACTCTGGACCTCAGGAAAGAAATTACCTGATCACTGTTAGTTGCACTAAAGTTGAGCGAGAACCTATTGAAAATGTGTAATATCAAGAAAATAATAATCTGGCCTTAATAATTAATAATAATTCTGTTGCACTGAATTATCACTTGTTTTTCATTACTAGCTGTCTCAAGGTCTGTTTTTGTCTTTATGCTTTCCATACCTGGATTCTGTGTTCCCTGAGGACTGAGGATTAGATTTTGGCAAATTATGAAGAGGTTACTTTCCCAATACCAGGATTCCTGCTCAGTAGGAGGATTACATTTTCCCACGGAAATGCTGATGAACATTATTGTCTCCCTGGTCTGGCTACCAAAACCCAAACAGAATGAATGAACCCTACTGGGACTGGGCTGTCTCTAAAAACAGTAGCTTGAGTGTTGAGTAGAGAACCCTGAAATGGCCCTTTGTCCCAAAAGGCCTAGTGGCTGAGCCCAAGGACAGCCCTAAGCAAAATGAGGAAACTGGGAATGTTGACCCACGAGGCTGTAAAACCAGTCAGATTTGCAAGGATTGGTGACTCTCCTGCTTATTTCTTCCCGCCTTGCCTCCGGTCCTTCAATCTTTGGCTCCCTGCTATGACCCCTCCTAGAACACTTTTGAGGTTCTCCTTTCTCAGGGCTCTACCTACAGTGCTCAGGGGAGGCAGGGGAGGCCGCCCTTTGCAGAGTAGATAACACCCCAAAGCTGGGAGCTTTCGATCCTATCAGGCCCCACCCCTAAGCAAAGAAATGAGAATCTGGCCCCTGCAGGCATTCTTATCCTGAAGCCTCCTTCCGAAGCCTGCTTTGGTGATTCCTACACTTGGTCTTTGTAATAGGTGAACCTGGAGAGCCTTTTAAGTTAAAAGAAGAGGAAGGTTTAAATTGCCACTTCACCATTTATTGATTTTGTTACCTTGGGCAAATCAGTTTATTCCCGAGAGCCCAGTTTTCTCAGGGACCCCTCAAGGTGGCAGAATCTTAGCAGGCTTCCTGCCTGGTCCCAAACAGGCTGCTCCTAGCTCCTGAGCTGCAGAAGTGAAAAAAGGCCAGCTGGTTTTCTCCATTAGGGTCACTTGCAAGTGAAAAACCCCCTAGGGCTTAGAGCTGAGCTTCTCACAATGTGGTTCCCATAACAGCTGGAAGCCTGTTAGGAAATGCCAACAAAGGCCCAACCCACCTGCCCCAGGGGGT